GCTAAAATGGCAGAAGCCAGCTATCTCCACTGTTCAAATGGGTGTGCTTTCAGAGGGGACAGAGAAATGTCTGCTGGAGTTTCACCACATGGCTTTACTATTCTCTCTTCAAATCTGAGCTTCATAAATTCGAACAATCCTTCATTGACGCCTTCAGAGGCTAACTTGTTCTCTGAATGATCTGTACCATTCATTCTTTCTAATGAGACTGTCATTATACATTTTCTCATACTGTGATAGCATTACCCTGTGTAAGTGTAGTTCAGAAAGGTGGTCGTGAGCTTAGAATATGTGAGTTTTGCAGCTTTAGCAAGGCTGAGAACTGCTGGGTTATAGAATTCCACTTCAGCCCTCAGCGATGCTATGGGATTTAAAATGAAGAGAATTTGGAAGCATGACAATGCTGATATTGCTTCACATTCTGTCATTGCTATTATTAGACAATTTCATACTGAGTAGGCCTAAAGTTTACTGGATACAGAAACTGTCTCTAATAGCTTTGAATTTTCTCCAGTGACCTGTGTTTACTCTGCACCTAACAGGCAAGTGCTATTAGACTCTTACAGTATAAGACTTCTTCTTTCTTAAAAGTCTTAACAGGTAACTGGCCTAAATGATGTAAATTACAATGCCAGATCATCTTTGTAAGGGGAGATAAACATTCAACCAGAATTCAATGTGCTTGAAGGTGTTGGAGAATGAAATTCTTTTCTAGACATAGCCTTCCTCAAGCCAGAAAAGGAGCTCATCTTTGGGGTGGAAGCTGGAGACTACGGACATGCAGCATCCTCAACCCAACACAGGAACTAATTTATCATCAGGAGTTATTCATCCCTAGACTTACCGAAAAGTAGACATTGCCATCAGGAAGGACTCCTCCAACTACCAGATCACTTCCCACAAAAGTGTAGCGATCTGTGATGCCCAGGCCAACCCAGCCAGTTGTTCGGACTTGGAGCTCAAATGTGATGAACTCAGCCTCATAATCAAAGTCCCAGCGCAGAAAAACAGCACGGGAAGGGTCTAGGAACCTGGAATAACGGAGGGGAGACATAGGGCCCAGGCGCTTGCCCTGGGTAAAGGCTGCCAGGACCAAGAATAAGAACAGCCTGAAGAGGAGAACACAGGCCATGGCTCCCAGGGCCCGAAACATATTTCCTGCAGATGGACACTGAAGAGCTCTGGACTTATATGTATCTCTATTGTGCCAGGCACGGTGCCATGGAGGAAGGAAAGGCTAGGCTTCTTCTGATCTGATTATCTACTGTGTACAGTGTGGTGTGGCTTACATAACCGGAGTCAGAAGTATCCAGGGAGGACACAGAGAGGAATTGTCTCTCTTTAGGTCAGAGATCCAATATGACATTAGAGTCATGCAGTCTTCTATACCAACTATATGGCAGGGTCATGCCCAGTGAGAACCTGTAGTGTCAATGAGGTTCTCAGCTACTTCTCCCCCATTCCTCCAACTCTACCATACTAATATCCTCAGGAAATGTTATTCTTCTGAATTACACTCTCCCCTACTGCAGTTTTATGCCCTTTCCCATTGTATCCCTGTGTGGAATGGGAGAAGCAGAATTTAAGCTTATCTTTTTGATTTTCTGGTACTGTCCAAGAGGAAGGTCTTGGGGTGGGGGAAGAGCTATGACTTCAGTCTCCTGCAGGGACCTGTGTTACTAATACTAGGAAGAACATATGGAGGAGAAAGACTTCTAGGTGGACAAACCGGGGGCAGCTTTGATTTCAGCAACTCATACAGAGGAGCTAGAAGTGAGGGAAAGAAAAAAAAAAGAGAATGAGAAACGGATGTGAATTTGCTTGTGGGATGCTTTGAGCTTCACTCTTTTATACTACAAACATGAATTGCTTTTCAAAGAAATCACAATTCAGTTATTCTCCCCTCCAGGATTAGCCAAGTTTCTGCACTTTTAAGTGCCTTGGCATTACAGAAAATACATAACACACAAAGGGAATATTTTAATAATAGAGCAGAATGAAATCCTGGGTCTCTTAATTACATAACAGTTCCAGTTCATGTTGTAATTAAAAAATTAAAAATGCTGCAGGATCCCTGGTGGCAGTAGGCAGCAGAAATGCTGTAGGTCCCCAAACGGTGATAGCGGGCCATGTGGCTGTAGGCAGTGGGCCCTGAGAGCAGCTTGTCCCAGGCAGAGATGGCTATCAGTCCCCCGAGCAGTGGCTGGTCCCAGGCAGGGAGACACATGGCAGGCAGGCAAGAGACAGAGACATGGATAAGCACGCTATGCAGAGTGAGGTTGAATATTTATTCAGGAGGTCATGGAGGGGAAGGAGAAAAGGAGAAGGGGAGAGTGAGAGAGGAGGAGGAGGAGGAGGAGGAGGAGGAGGAGGAGGAGGAGGAGGAGGAAAGAGAGACAGAGAAGGGGGAGAAGTGGGGAGAGAGGCAGTAGCAAAGCTGTCTCTCTGAGAGGAAGATGGAAAAGAGAGAGAGAGAGCTCAGGTCAGAAGCTGAAGAGCAGCCTGCCTCAGTGGATGGGGGAGGAAGTGGGCATGGCGTGTCTCTTAAAGAGACACAACAATCATTGCACATGTAATCTTTAGATAAGTAAGTGGAAACATGAGGAGCAGCACCAGTGGAGTGTGGCCACACACCCTGTCAGCGATGGAGGTGAATGGGGAGACTCCAAGGAAGCCTGCCTCATCGTCCTTCTTTCTATGACCTTTTTGAGCCACGGACACTCACAGATCAGCAGACTCCTGAGTGCTTTGTCCTGATCCTGTGTCACAGTGGTGGGTGTTAGTGTTGTTTGCTGATTTCTTCTCAGAGAAGAACAGACATCTGCACTGTGCGAGACTTACTGTGCAAGTCTCCTGGTGTCTGACACAGCTGACAAAGGAGATAAATCTTTTCATAAATCCCCCATTCCCTGACTTTCACTAGATGACAGAGAAGACACGTACCCTTAGGACACCCCCAAATTGTGTTGGGCCACACATCTACACATAGAAGTCCGGTCCAAAGAAGGGTGAGAAGATGCCTTCTGAACTGCGTGTATCTTTACTAAGTGCATGAAAGTCTTTCAATTGCCTGTTGAGCTCAAATATTGCTAAATTGTTGGCTACTGTTGTGTGCACTTGAGTAGTGATTAAGATGTAGTTGAGAGTGGTGGTGGAGAAAAGGCCTTAGGAGGCTGTCATGACCTCCAACACTGGTCCTGTAGAGGCTGGGAAGAGACAGTTAGCCATCTGATCTGGAAGCAAGAGGCTTAATCTGGCTCAGTACAGAAAGCTGGGCTAGATAAGAGAGGACAAGGCAGGTCCCTGGAAGGACTGACCTTGGGAGGCAGGAAGGTTAGCCAGGGAGATAACAGGCCTGTAGGAGACACTCTGATCCCAATCTCATTAGAGGATTAGGCAGAAGAGGGGTCAGTGGGAAGCTAGGACAGACAGCTCAGAAAACTGAGAAGGGCACAGGGTCACTTATCCAGTCTGCTTGTCTGGCCAGAATTCTGTCCTTAGGCAAGAAACAGAGCTCTCTGGGAAGAGCTAGGAGTCAGTGACTTCAGACCCAAGGAATCTCTTCTACACCCTCTTCTCCCTGGCTCTTATGGCTCACAAGGAGCCTATTCAACTTTTTAAAAGATATTTATAGAAGCTTGGAGAACTCATTCTTCCAAAAGTAAATGCTCTAGAAAAATGAAGGGTTATCAAACTTGAGGGGCAAAGCTTAATTATAAAAGAAATCCAAAGGAGGACAAGACTATTCCCAAAATATGGAGATGATTTTTACTGTAGATGTGCGGGAGAACATGGCCAGAAGCAGAGATACCTGGGAGAGTCCAGAGTGAACACAACCCTGAGCCTGGTCATGAGAAGAGAAGGGAAGGGGAGGGGAACAGGCCAGGTAGCAAAATGACTGGATCATTTAGGGAAGGATAGCTGGGGGAAGGGCAGTCCAGCTGCTGGGTTGGAGAAGTTTAGAATAGGGGGGTGAAAAATGCCAGTCATACCCCAAAGCAGATATGAGCTAAGGGATGTTGGGAGAATTTGGAGGCATCTCAGAAAGTCATTTGTGCAGGTTTGAGACCTAACTAAAGTCCGTACTCCACACTGACGTTGTCCACCTGTCCTCAATAAGTCAATTAAAGGAGCCAAATCAATAATGAAAAGTAGAAAAATATTTATTTCGCATGGATACGTTGGGAAAAGGGAAGAAGTTACCCACTGAACTCCAAGCAGCTGGGTTTCTGAAATGAGAAAGAAGTTTAGGAGCCAAGGATAAACAGTTTAGGTCAAACAATGGTCCTACCCACCATTGACCCACCATTCCTTCGCCTCCTTAGAGCTGTGTAAAATCTCTTTTCTGGAGACAAGTTCCTGCTCTGGCTGGTGCCTTTTCCTTCTCCCAGAATGTGATTCCTGAGAAATTCCCATTTTTTTTTGTGGTCCTTCGTACCACAAAGAAAGTCAGGTTGATAGACATGAGTGCCTTTTACGAATATTTTTATTTCTGCCAGGCCAGTTACAAAAAGGAGAATCTTTCCTTTCACTTTGGACAAAGCTCTGGTTTTTGTTTTGCATGTGCACTGCTGGAGTCAGACAGATGATTGAAGATGAGCGTCCATAGTCATACTGCCTAATATAACCCTGAAGCAGCCTCCCCATGCAGTTGAAGCCTGTGGGTGAGAGTTGTCTTTGTTCAGTTCTGTCACCATTGCTTGGTTATATGGAGATATTTTAATCCTTTGAAAGATCTGAGACTCATACTCAGACCACTTCCAGGAACATCTGATCACTCCTGAGAGGGTGCAGGGCCCAGTCACTCCCTGAGCTACTCAGTGAGTGTGCAGTGTGCAGGGGTGTGGGAGAGAGAGAATAGCCAAGCTCAGACAACAGGAAACGGTGCAGTCTTTCAGCTTGAGGTTTGCTCTTCAGAGAAGAGCTGCAGTCAGTTTCCTGAGGAAGTCATGCCCTTGGAACTTCAGTCCCCGGGCTTAGGCTCCTGATTGCAACCGTACTTGGTTTTGAGCCTCTTCTGCTGGAGAGAGCCTGAGGGGACAGGGATGTGGCACTTTTTCATTCTGTGCCTCTGTGTACGCATGGCCTCTGTGACTACAGGTCAGATGGTAACTGAGGAAGCCAGAGGGTGGAATGGGAGGAAGAGAGGCCTGCTGCTTTAGATTAGCATGAAGAAAAGCAGCCCCTAATTCCTTTAAGACAGTCAATATCTGGCACAGTCTCTCTCCCTGGTCAAGGTTTCTCTTCTTGGCAGCCTTGTGTCTGTGTAACTCAGACTTTCTTTAGGATTTCGCTTAGTTGGCTACACATGGGGTTTTCCAGTCTGCCTACTTTCATCTTGGCCTGTCTGTGTTTCAGACTCCATGGTAACTTTGCTGGAGCAGAAACCTAGGTGGGCTCTGGTACGTCGTGGTCAAGCTGTGACCCTGCGCTGTATCTTGAAGAATTCCCAGTACCCTTATATGAGCTGGTACCAGCAGGATCTCCAACAGCAGCTACAGTGGCTGGTCTCTCTGCGGAGTTCTGGGGACAAAGAGGCCAAATCTCTCCCGGGTGCTGATTACCTGGCCACACGATTCACTGATACAGAGCTGAGGCTTCAAGTGGCTAACATGACCCAGGGCAGAACCTTGTTTTGCACCTGCAGTACAGACACAGTGGTAAGCTCTGCTGTGGCATTGGAACAAAAACCACACACACAGACACCCTGCCTTCAAACCCCTGCTTCTCTGCAAGCTCTTTTGAACCTACTTCCTTTCTACCCAGACTTCCCCATCCCTTTGCCTTAGCAGGAAGTGGACTCTCCTGATTTATCATTGTTCTTTTTCTGCCTGAGCCATACCATAACTTAACCTCAGGTTCCGACGAGCTCAGAGCATAGACTTTCTGGCTTCCACCTGTGATGGAGGAAGGTAATTGGTTAATTATAATAAACCAACTGCTTGGCCTCATAGCTTAGAACATAGGTGGGTGGAATAAACAGAATAGAATTCTGGGCGGAAGAGGAAGTGAGGTCAGACTCTGCTCTGCTCCCGGAGAGACGCCATGCTTGCCATGCTACACTCTCCCAGGGTGGACGGAGGCTAGAATCTTCCTGGTAAGCACACCTGGGGTGCTTACACACATCATTTAGAAATGGGCTAGTCCAGGTGCGAGAATTAGCCTGTAAGGGCTAGAGTTCATGGGCCAAGCAGTTCTTAAATGAATACAGTTTGTGTGTTGTTATTACGGGCATAAGCTAGCCAAGCGGCCGGGGAGTTGGGGACGCAGCCCCGCCGCTTCCTATTTCAACACACCTGTGAGCTTGGAAGACATCCTTTATCCCTCCTACACTTCTGTTTCTGATTCTGTTGGACAGAGGCAGCAAATGTGGCCATCCCAGAAGGCAGCTGTGAAAACTGAGCAGCACCGTCCCGGTGAGGTCTTCAGTATGATTTGATGAAGAGCAGCATGGAAACGTTTGCTAGACGTTAGCTCTTCTCTCCCCAATATGCAGAGTGAAACACAGGCTGACTGGGATGCCAGTGTCAATTCCCAGCGTAGGGTTGGGTTAAAATCCAGAGAAATTTCAAGAGCTCGGATAAGCGTGGGCTGAACTGATGAATGTGCAGCCCCGACTGCACCTGTCGTTCTTCACCTGCGGGTCGCTGTCCCTCTGGTGGTAGAACAACTTTTCACAAGTGCCTTCTCAGACCATTGGAAAACACAGGTTTCTGCACTATGAATCATAGTACTGGCAAAACTATATAAAGTAGCAACAAAGACAATTTTATGGTTGAGGGTCACCACAACATGAGACACTGTATTAAACGATTCCAGCATTAGGAAGGTTGAGAACCACTGGACCACATCCTTGAAACCATACCCTTGTTTCCATGATGCCCAAGTTTTTAGTACACCCACTTTGACCTCAAAAAACCCTATCTTAATTTGTTCTCTGTATCCCTTTGTTAGTCCAATTTATTTTGTGTTTATTATGACATTTTAAATAAAATATTATTTCACCTGCCAGTTAACATAGCAAATAATTGCAAATGAAAACTAAAATCTCCCTCCTATGTCAGACTTTCCAGCTTGAAGCTACTAAAACCAGAATTTTTTCCTTGCCAATTATCAGTTTAGTCAAAACAGTTATAAAACAAAAACAAAAAGCCTCATGAAGACTCTGCCTAAAGAAAATATTTAAAAAGTAAATCACATTGAGCTGGGGAAACAATTTACTTGATAAAGCATCTGTCTCACAAGTCTAAAACCCCGAGGACATGGGTTCAATATTCAGAATTCACACACACACGAGCACACATGCACACACACACAAACACACACACACACATGCACACACACACACACTTGCCAGAGGCAGAGAGATAGAGACATACTGATCATCAATTGCTCTAAGTCAGAAGTATATTCACTGGTGAGTTAATTTGAACTCATCTTTCAGAAAATAAGGCCCTCAGAAAAATACAAGGGTCTAGGGCTCAGCCAATGTTGTACTAGAAAGGCCAAGTCTGAACTGGATTTGCAACCTAAGTGAGGTCACCTCCAGGGTAAAGAGCAGATCAAGCCAGGCAAAATGCTAAAAATCAAGAGGACTGTAGAATCTCAGAGCATGGCAGGCAGATAGGTGGAAGGGGGAGGAGGAGGAGAAGAAGAGAAGAGAAGAGAGGAATGGGGAGGAAGAATGAGAGGGGAGAAGACAGGAGGGAGCTAACATGAAGCATAGGATCTTGAGCCAGATCTAAAGTAGAGTGTGAACAACTGGGAGCTATGGCAGTATGGAATCACCAAGAAAAATTAAAGCTACGTTTTTGGCCAACCAGGTACTGGAGGACTGTTTCCCCAGCTCTGTAGAGGATGAAGGGATCATTCCACTAGGGGGCACCATTGGCTTATAATTCTTCAGGATGCCGACGGTTATTTGGTAGACCCAACAGGGCTTCCTTGCTCCCACATTAGGCTCTCCTCTATTCCTTCAGATCTTGAGACGTTCATCTGCCTATGGCATGACTTGCTTCATGCTTGACTCCAGAGTTTCGGCCATGGGTTTCTGTTCCTGAACTTTTCCAAAACTGTGCTGTTGAGAAGGACACTTTGAACAAAACTCTCCGACATTCTTTCTAGAGTGTTGTCTGTGGTAAAACCAGAAACTTTTCGTCCGGAAGTGGTGCCAGCTGCCCTTTGAGGACTCTTTCAATTCCCGGAATTTCACAGTAGTTTCCACTGCGTTTCTGTGGCCTTGGCCTGGACTCAATCTCTACTCTTCCCCACCTTCTCTCACATACATGCTCACACTCACACACAGTAAATGGAAATGACTAACAAAATGTCCTCCCGGTGACCACATGACTTCACACCCACATTCCACGTGTTCTGCGTCAAAATCAGGAGAAAAATTTAGGACAGACAGACCAGCTAGGGAAAAAAAATCACAGTCAAAATCCTAATTAGACTTAGTTATCTATTTAAATAACTAAATAACAGAAGGGAATATGGGTTCATACAGGAGGGACTAGATAGGGGTGCTTGTGTCTAGTAAAAGACAAGTGGTTGATGGGGTGAGTTAAAGATGAACCACAGATGGGAGATTTGGAGTTGAAGAACTTTCAGCTCAGATGAGACTGGGCTACCTGCGAGTAAAAGCTATCTGGATAGTTCATATCACTATAGACTTTGGCATGGATCCCTTTCTTAGTATTTTCCCCAGTAAAACCATGGATTGAGAATATGAAATTTTAAGTTCTTCATATATTTTGGAGATGAGTCCTCTGTCAGATGTGGGATTGGTGACGATCTTTTCCCATTTAGTAGGCTGCCTTTGTGTCTTATTGACTGTGTCCTTTGCTTTGCAGAAGCTTCTCAGTTTCAGGAGGTCCCATTTATTTATTGTTGCTCTCAGTGTTTGTACCACTGGTGTTATATTTAGGAAGTGGTCTTCTGTGCCCATGCATTTATGGCTACTCCCCACTTTCTCTTCTATCAGGTTCACTGTGGTCGGATTATATTGAGGTCTTTAATCCATTTGGACTTGAGTTTTGTGTTTGGGGATAGATTTGGATCTATTTGCATTCCTCTACTTGTTGACATCCAGTTATGACAACAGCGTGAATACAAAATCTTAGAATTGCTCACTGCACTGGACATGTACATGTGCAGATTTTGATGCCACACTGGTACACTGCCAGCAGAAAATGTGCCTTTAATTTTAATTTTTAAGTTTTTAAAGACAGGGTCTCATGTTACCCAGGCTGGCCTCATAGAGCTGAGGCTGTCCTTAAACTCTTCTTCATCCTGTTTCAGCTTCCCAAGTGCTGGGATTATAAGTTTGTGCTCCTAGACCTAGAAAAACATCCTTTTAAAACACTAAGCTTATAAATGTGACTGAGGTACTACTATGTGATGACTCAAGGCTCATGTATATTTTGAGATGTGTAACGTCTAAATATATTTACATCCTGAATCACTTATTTTTTTTTTTTTGTAGTAAAATCATTCCAAGTTCTTCCTTTGAGGTTTTTGGGATACACAGTGCGTAACTTCTGACACTCACCCTACTGTGCGCTGCTAGCACATGGGGCTTCCTCCTGTATAAACAGAGCTCAGTCCACACCGATCTACTTCTTTCCTCCTCTTTTTCTTTCCTACTTTCCCAGCCCCGGTAATCATTTTATTCTTTGTGTGACTGAATGGTATTATGTTGTGGATATGTTCTGTATAGTTTGATCCGTTCATTTTATTGAAACAGTTTTCATTTCTTGACTATAGCACTAATGATGCAAACAACATGGGAGTTCAGGTGTCCCTTGTCGTATTGGCTCCATTTCCTTTTGATCCATGCCCGCGTGGTCGTTGCCTCATGAGATACTTGTATTTGAAAAAAATCTGAGACACTTCCATTTTGTTCTCTGTAGTGGCTTTATGAATTTGCATATGCATTCATAGTTTACAGGAGTCCTTTTACTTTATATCCCCTCCAGCATTTGTTATCTAATTTGTTTTTGAGCAGAGTCATTCTTCCTGGGATGAAGAATCATATCATTGTAATTTGATTTGCATTTCCTTTATGATTATCAGTGCTGGAGAACTGAACACCTTTTTATACACTTGTTAACCATTTGTACATAACAAAGGAATTCTGCCTTTAAATCCATGGTTATCAGTGCTTCGTTGCATTGCCTCTGCCAGGATGAGGAAATTAGACAGGAAGGCATCCTTGGGAACACCTTTGCCTCTTTCCTGAGATGCACTAGAAAAAGCGGGTGAGGTCAGACAGAATGTGGAGGTCATACTTTGCAGTATGAGCAAGTCAGGTGAGTATGCTGCAAAGTAGAGGGGAGAAGAGGCCAAGATAATCACTCTGCATTTGTCCCATGCGTCATGGATACCTGCATGTAATAAACTCCTGTTTCTGTCTATGAGAAAAAGGGACTGAACTCAGAGAGTGTGGAAATTCAAGTCAGGGATAGACAGGCTTTCACCGCCATGAGTAAGGAAAGCCTCTGAAACACCTTCAAATCATTCTATTTCCCTCCTTTCAAAAAAAAAAATAATCACAAACCCATTATTATTCCTTTGGGCTCCAAAATCTCGGAAATCAGAAATATTTCTGAAGAACTAATTCTACAAGTTCACTGAGGTTGTTGGCACTTGAGTATGAGCTCACTTGTCGCGATGTGAAGGCAGCATCATCTTTCGGAGAATGAACATTAAGGGAGAAGATTAGACAGAGATGTAAGGAGTTGGGGGAAGATTTTTAGAATGAAGTCAGTCACCAGTTCAGCAAGAGCCCATTATATCCATTGGTAATGGGGGAACTGTCAGATACATTTTGCATGATGATGGTAACCAAGAAAGTTAAAAATAGCTCCAACAACAAACTATTTGTTTTGTAATTTTCTTAGCTCAGTCCTTAGAAATTGAAGCAACAATCCCTCTCCTCTTTTACATTTAATTTCTCTTCTGTCTATCATTTTGGATTAAATGCATCAAGAGCATATGTAGTCAAATTATATGAGAATATCCATTGGATCTCTCATTCTTATTTTGTGGAGTTTAAAATAATCTCTCCTCTAATCAAGTGCTATATTTGAATATTTGTGTCCTCTCCTAGATTTATGTTAAAACTCATCTCAAGTGCAGTAGTGTTAGAGATGGGGCCACATCTTCATGGATGTGAGTAACATCTTACAGAAGGGCCCTAGGAACTAAATGTATTCTTTACTTAGTTTTTTAACTTTTTGCCATATGCATTCTGCCACTTGCAAATGTAGCAAAATGGACATCAGTAGACACCAAAGGCTTGTTTTCATCTGTAGTTTGTACATTTCCAGTTCCTTTAAAAAAAAAAGTCCCAAATGGTTTAAGACAAAAGATATAAGAAAACAGTAAGCTGCATTCCCAATCAGCCCTTACAGATTTTTGAATGCCTTCAACGTGCTAAAGCTATTCTGCACAACTTGGGTGAGTTGTCTAATTCTCACAACTCAGATGTGTCACTGGTCTCATCTTAAACCATCATAAAACATAAGACCAGAGAATCATGTTGAGGATTTTTATTCTTTTCTGCCCTTAATCACTTACATCCATGAATTGTCT